TCAGTCTTTTCTTCCATTCAGAGTCCATAGGTTAATAAGATTTTCTTTTTTGCTGATGAAGAAGAACAATTCAGTGTCTGGAGTTGTTGAATCTCTTGATGAAATTTACGGGAACCTGCATTCACTTGTATCTGCCGGAGGATTTCCATGATATCCATCTCCGGTCATTCACTCGATGATCAGCGCCTGGGGTCCCCCCCCCCCCATCTTTCCAGACATGGCCCATCTCCTGGCCAAGCCACATCCTTTTACTTGTAAATCGGGTTCTAATATACACCAGGTTTCGCCGGAGGGTGTGTGTGTGGGGGGGGGACTCCTAATACAAATGTGTATACTCTAACAAATATTCAATATCACATATATCATACTAGAAAAGGTGCAGATTATATCTACTATACATAACAAACACATGGACATCACTTAGAGCTTGTTAGCTGCTCTCTGTTTCACAGATTAAATCTCTCTTCTTGTTGATTAGGCTTAAAAATATTCAAAGGATAAAGAACATCCTTTTAAAATAAAATTTTACATATTCCACATTTTGCAGCAGGTACATGCTTTCTGAATGGTTGGTGACCCTTCACGCTAGTGCCTCTGAGAGAGGCTGTGACATGTTGGGAGAAAGGGGACTGTGTGTGGGTTCCCCTGAGGGGGACAAATCACAGAATTTTCTGAGTTGAAAGGGGCCCACAAGGATCATCAAATCCAACTCTTAAGTGAATGGCCGATACGGGGATCAAACCCACAACTTTGGTGTTATTAGCAACATAATCTACCCCCCATCCCCGGGCATGAGGCAACACCTTGTTGTGAGGCCTGTGTGCATGTGTCCAGCAGCAAGCCATGTGGAAGTAGGGGACCGGCAGGGTAAGGAGTGGTCCTGTGCATTAGATAGGAAAGATGAGTGCTAATGTCTTTACAAAAAACTGGATTGGGTGAGGGTCTTTAGGAGAAATGGGTGTTAATGTCTTTGAAATGGGTCTTAATGTCTCTATGAACCTAGGGCTGCCCAAATTTGTTACAGAACCCAGACAGTTTGACTACAATTTGAATTCCTGAACTTTAAGGTAGTAGACAAATGGGTCCATGTAAACTTGATTGAAGAGCCCAGGCAGTCTGAATTTCTGGTGGATCCGCAGAACTCAGACAACCTGAACTTTCAAACTTTGTGGGAAAATGATGATATATGTTCAAGGGGGTGAATATGTGGTATTGAATCCTAAGTGGTATGTGTTATGAACAAAACAGCCTGGCTGGGACATTTGGCTTGGGCTAAGTACTGACACTGAAATGTTAATTAGCTAATTGCTCCTGGGAATCACCTACAACCCCACCCACACTAGGACCTGGATGCAAAATAATCCTGTGGAATCATGGGAGAAGGTTTTGGAGATGAAACACACCCCTAAAATGAAAGGCTGGGCACAGTGAAGGGGGCTGGATGGGTGTGTTGGTTATGGAAAAGGGAACCACATCTCTAGTCTGTGTTTAACCTGTCACCATAATCTGCAGAGGACCAGACTGGACTGGGCTGTGGGAAGCAGGAGCAAAGGACATACACTTCCTGGTGTTACCAGGAGGGTGGGAGAGAGGACAGCTGCTGGGACTTCAGATACAGACTGCACACCTCTTCACCTCCAGCTACCAGTGTGTCACGGAGACTCCAGGGACAGACTCTGCAGCCTTCTCACCCTTCAGCTACTGGAGAAGCTACAACAGCGGGGGTGAGCTCCTTGTCGAGCCCCCTGCTGAGCTGACTTTTTAATAAAGAGCTGAACATTAATAAAGGCATAGACCCTGTTCATTTCAGTATGCAAGAAAAGGTTAACCACAAGTAATACTGTTAACAAGATGTGCAGGTAAAACAAGCAAGATAGCAAAGCCAGTGAGATAACAAGCACCAATCAAGAGAAAGATAGCAAGATTTAAAGGAACTTGCAAACGGCAAAATTAGCTAAAAAAAAAAAAAGTTACACTGAAAAAACAAGGGCCGGGCATGCACTGAAGATAGAGGTAAAAAGTTCAAACGTGAGGAAGACTACAGAAGCCTTCATCAAAAGACCACCAGAAGACTGACTACCACCACAGAACTGTTGCAAAACCATGACACAGCTTTATGCAAATATGAGTATGCTATGTTGTAAATGGGACTGTTATAGATACATATTATAATATTGGCTTTTTGCAAATATTAAAATGTATTTTATATGTGTGTTGTTAAAGTAACTTTGTTATAAAGATATAGTTTTATTTCTGTTGTTAATTAATCTTAAACATAGTAGTGAAATAGCTGATATAAGTATGCTTGTGTTAAAATGCCTGCTTGGATGGGATAACATCCAATGAACATATGATAAGGACACCTGCTACAGATTTGTCAACTATCAGCACTCAGCTTCTGAAGACAGTGTGGACCAAGGCCCAAAAACTGGAGGTGATAAGAATGGACTAAAACCACAACCAAGGAATACACATGCTCTAAAAAGGTGGAACCAAGAAGAAGATATGCTAAACAGTTCTTGGAACATGTAAACCAATTTGGGGAAAAGTTTACTATGCATAAGGGTCTATGAACATGCAACAGGATGATGTAAGGGAAAAGGTATTTCACAGGTATCCTGAAGATAACAGTGTGCTCTTGGCTGAATGCCAAGCACCTGGCCATTTTTAACCCTTTGCTTTATTTCTGTCTCCTAATGTCTTTTTATTAAACTTTTAAAATTTTACCTGAAAAGTGAACCTCGTTTTTCACATGACATTGCGTGGAAGGACTTTTAAAATATAACTAAATGCTAAAGAAGATTGAGTGAGTTTTTGGCGGAGAGATCCCCCTCACTCCCAGCGCTGAATAAACAAATACCTGCTCTGTAGCTGTCTTGTCAAAAATAGGTTAGAAACGGTTGCAAAATAGTTGATAATTGTTAAGCATGTACTGTTAGCTTGGTTATGGTAAAAGGGGTTAAAATGGTAGTTATAAGAAATACAGTACTCAACTTACCGTATTGCACCTAAGTAAAGTGCACCACCCCCCAAGTGAAACGAGCCAGCCTGGAAAGAACTGTAATGGGCCAATCAAGTGCCTTAAACCTTCATGCAAATGAAAGGATCCAGACAGAAACCAATGCAGAGGGACAAAAAACAGGATAAAAAGGGGCATCTGACCCAATGAATTTATGCCGCTCTGTGAAAAACACCAATCACTTGGTTTCTAAAATTTTGAAAGCTTAATAATAATAAAATGGTTGTAAAAATAGTAATACAATTAGAGTAATACAATTTAGAGGTAGGACAATTAGAAGACAATAAAAAGCAAAGAATTACGGATGTCCAGATGCTCTCGGACACTAAGTCATGAAAAGCATACCTTGTGAACAAAGGAATAACCTTAAAACCAATAGCCTGTTGCATATTCATATATCTCATACATGATGCATAAATTCCTTGCAAATTAAGAATTTTTCTGGTCTTTGTCAACTTCTTCCCCTTAATCATGCTGGTTCCATAAAGATGGAGAGAAGGTAGAAGAATGTTTGTCTTTTCTGATAAGGAGGTTGCAACTCTTTATGGGCCCCAAGTCACTGTCATCTCTGTGTGAAGAGTTTCTTGATTATCTAATCTCTTGCTTGAGCTAGTAAAAAAATCCTACACCGCAGAGTTTCTATTTCAACAATGTTATAACCTAAAACTATATTTAACACACTACTTAAGAAAATTAATACAGCATAACTTTCTAACATTACACATATAATATTCATTGTGTTATAAATTTGCGCCACAACGGAACATAATCCAATTAAGAATTTTATTAATTTACAGCAAGTAGGATATGAACAAGGGTAACAGCGCTGTGCAGCAGACAGAGAACTTCAAAAAACCGAAGCTCCACTGACTGCTACCTTGATTCGCTCAAACTGTCTCCTTTTATTCCAATTTCTTCTTTTGTCTCCCTGGAATTTGCAAGCCAATTCCTGCCGTTATCTTGTGTTTGTATAAGCAGTCTCCGGTGTAAGTGGTTGTTATCTTATCTTGCATCAGCTGTGTCCCTTCGCTGTTTGCATACCTCCGTGGCCTAACCTTATCTCAATAGACAATACCTCAGTCTGTATTTTTCTCACAGTTGTCTAACCTTTACATATATCTTAATAAACAATATCTCAATCTGTAGTTTCTTACAATTGTAACATTTGTGAAAAGCCAATCATAAAATATGCATTTTTCACACACTCCACCTGGAACATCGGGGACATCACTGCTCAAGAAAGACCCCAGTGCCAGCGCTGCAGCATTCTTGACGGGACCGCTCCTGCTCAGCCCGCAAGCCCCCTTGCTTTAGGCCTTCCTTTTTATTATAATAAATGCGGAAATCACTTTTAGTACCGGGAGTGCGGTCCCGTTTTTAACAGTCTGACTATAGAGTTTTATTTTCTTGCCTAGTTTTGGGCATCAGTAGGTGGTTCAGGAAGGCGGTATCTTCCTCTTACCTCAGAAATGGGGAGTCGGGAGTTTAGAATAAAAGGAGGCTGTGTTCTCCGAAGCCTCGAGAGAGAAACCCCACGGGGGTATGCCCCAGTGGACTCTCCCTTTATTCGAATAAAGTTGCAGGATTCCTCTGTCTCCTTTATGAACACCGGCTTTTCATAGCGTGATTTTCCGCACAAGTGGGAGCCCGGGAGATGCTGAGGGCAGGGACCAGGGCTGAAAGGCTAGGTGGGGCCGGGCGGCCATTTCACTGCCGTCCTATCACACCCGAAGCCACGGGCCCTAGACTAGGCCGCCGTTGCCACGGTGACCGGCCAGTGGCGCCCCGCCCTGCACCGCGCGGCGGGCCCCGCCCCGGCCAATCGGAGGGGTGGTGGCAACGGAGCGAGGTTCCCTTTGTTCAGCCATTTCAGAAGCCCTAGTGGGTTTCGTAACTGAGCTGCGGAGGCAGAGGACTAGCTGCTTCGCTCCCTCGCCACTTCTCTGCCGTCGGGGTCTGGGATGGTGTGGGTAGGTGTTTGGGCTTCGAGGGGCGGGCTGGGATGTCCCATCTCCGGCAGCTGCTGCCTGCATGCCTACGGGCGGCAGTCGGGCCGGTTGGGTGTAGCTGGGCCTGGACCTAGGCTGCTCCCTCTCTTCCCGCTGTCGTTGGCGGGCTGTATCGTCTCGTCCGGATGGATTGGATGGTGGGGGAAGACCGGGCATCCACCCACGTCTCCAGCTCCCGCGGCTCCTCCCAGTGCTACAGCTGGTATCGTCCCCGCAGCCTTGCGGTGAAAGTCACCTGGGGAATATAAGAAAGTGTCCATATTTCCTGCCTTTTTTTTTCCTGCGGTGTATAGGGTCCCTGCTAACCAGGTCTGCTAGGTGGGTTTCCATTTTTTTTTTCCTAAGAAATATTCGAAAGGAGTGAAATTCCGTAATTGTTTTGTACTTTTTGTTTCCTTCCTTGGGGAGCTTGTTAGTTTAGGTGCTTACGGGAAATAGCTGATGGAACTCGTAAAGTCTTTGTGGAGTGACTGTACAAAAGCCACAAACGCCTTTTGGGGTTGGCATAAATGGTTTGCTCAGTCTTCAAGCTCTTTATTTCCTTGTTGTGAAGGTAATTCCACTCCCTTGAATTTGCGCTCAGGACCCAAGAGATCTTCCTACTGTGAGGCTTATTCTGCTATGCACTCTGGCCACCACAGGTTCATAACTTGTTTGCTTGCCTTCTTGCCTGTTTAAGTAGTCCTTAATGTGGTATTTAAGTATTTCCCAGATATTATTAAATCCTTACAACAGTCATTGAAGAAAACGTTAATTTGTGAGTAATTAAACAGAAAAAAAATAATTGTATGCCCAAGATCATACAAGGAGCCTTTGTTAGAACTGCAAAGTGAGCCTATGTTTCTAATGAAGAATCTCATCTGCGTGTAAAAATAACCGTTTGTGGTCTGTTTCTAAAAGTCCTCACTTTGCATCTGCTGTGTGAACTGTAGTTATTTTGGTATTATATGTGGGAGGATGGAGGAAAGCTGCTCACAGTTGGGAAGAATAGTTTTTATATGATCATTATTACTTTAGAGTGTATTTGTTCAAAATTTTTCTTGAGGAAGAACTTCTTTACTGTGTGGGTGACCGTGTACTGGAACATATTGCCTGGAGAAGTTGTGGAGTCTCCCTCACTGGAGATATTCAAGAACTATCTGGATGCAATCCTGTGCCATGTGCTCTAGGATGACTCTGCCTGAGCAGGGAGGTGGGACTAGATGACCCACTGTGGTCCCTTCCAACCTGATCCATTCTGTGAAAATATCTAGTTAGCTTATACTCAAAGCACTATACTGCAAAGGGATAATTATGATCCTGCAAAAACAGGGTTAAAAAGCAGTTTACTCTGTCTTAAAGGTGAAAGGCTCTGGTTAGAATGAATATTGACTAAGGACCATTTTTACCATTGGATATAGGCAGTAACACAGACTTCAGAGACTTCTGAAATTTATATAAATGTAAGCACAACTGATAAATTGAACTAAGCATGCCTTGTGGCAAGAAGGTAAAAATAACATGAATGGTGGGTTTATGAATGTAGACTTATTGGATTATCCGGCATATGTTTTTCTAGTATATTTATTTAGATTGCAGTTTAGAAGTGCTTGTATGCAGATATTCAAGAGAACTGATATATGTGCTTAATTTTAGGTTCGTGTTGTAAATCGGAGCAACACCAGGGACTGAGTTATCTTATAATCAGGTGATAGGTGCACACAGAGCTGTCCAGCAGACTGGCAGATCTGGAATAGAGTTTAATTCAATCAAATTTAATTCCTGTTTCCACTTTGGGCACACCAAGATGCTATAGCTACAAAGGAGAGTGGCAGAAGGCCAAGTATAATCCTCCTTCATAAAAGCTGATATTCAGAATCTGTATGGTCTGAAGATCAGGGCTAAAAAGAATACAGAGATTTTATTTTTGAAATGTTTCATTGATAAAGATCTCCTTTTGTAGACTCAGCATTGTCACTGTCATAAAAGTTTGGACCACAGGTTTGTGAAACTTCTGCACCAATCAATGCATTGTCAGTAGAATTGTGTCAGTGATATGCAACAGGGGGAGGATTTTTCTTTGCTTTTTTTTTTTTTTTGAAAGGGCTAAGACTGTTTTTACCATTATTTTCATGTGTTAATTATGTTGGAACTTTGAGTAAATTTGACCACAGAAATGAATTTTATTAGTTAATTCAGTTCCAGATTCTTTGAACATTCAAATACATGTAACAGAATATTTTTGTCACCTATTCCACTTCTTTAAATTATTTTATAGTTTGATTTGGATAGCTCAGATAGGTTTTCTATATATTTTGATAGATTTCATATCTATATGATGATTGAAAAAATGAATATGTATTTATGTGTATAATATACAGAAGCTATAGGGGCTCAGGGTCAGGGCTGTAATTCATAGTGAAATTTTATTTTAAAAATATTTAATTGGTAGATATATATTTGTGTAGACCCAGTGTTGTTCAGTTTATATATGTGATCTATCATATACATGATAAATCAGTGTACATAATAATCTGTTTATGGATGTGCACATGGAGGCCATGGAATGTGGCATCTTTTAATGCTATAGAAATAAATTTCCAAACATCACTTTTAGCCTTCAGTTTTCCCTTTCCAGACCAGATTCCAGAGTGTAATTTAATTAAAAAGATCACTGTTAATTTTCTGTGTACTAAATGCTTTGAAATTTTGTTTGTGTATATGTACATTTTTAGTCAAAATTAACATGTTAAGAAAACGTGGGGCTTTTGAGCCTTGAGGATGAAGTTGCTGTTAAATTATTCCTCTGTTAAATAATTGAATTTTATATAACCTTTTCTACAAGCCATTGTGTAATCCCTTAAACATTCAAAATATGCTGCTTATGTAGAAGTTGCCATTAAGGGCATTGATTTAAATAATTGATTGATGCTAAATATAATGGCAGAGGAAAAGGCAAGATAAAATGTTTTTTGGAGAATAGAAAATAGTAGGTAAGTAGGTACAAAGATGCAAGGAAACTCTTACTCTATTAGAAACCAAAAAGGAAATACTTGCAGAAATTATGGTGAGGTAACACAGACCAGGGGCTTCCAAACCTAGTTAGGAGGTATATGATTATCATTAGTAACTTCTGGCATCCAGAGTCGCATGTCTTTCTAACCACACAAAACCAGAATCTCATCTATGGCTTTTATGCTCCCAGCTTTCCTACTGGATGTTCTTGTCTTGCAAGCTAGGACTGCAGTCCAATGCTCATACTCACCTTCCCCATCCATTCATGCATCTGCAGAAATTTACTCTAATTTTTCACTTCAGCCACATTTTTTCCCCTTGCACATATCCAAATCCTGAATTTTCACTTCCAGCAAGTACAAAGTGGAACCTTAGTTACCCCTGTGTGTATGCCATCACTCTAATCCTGGTCTTCCTACTTCACCATGTTTTGGCCCTCTTTCTGTATCCTGAACTAGAAGTGCGGGTCTGCCTGGAGGCGGTAGAGCTGTTCATTGTTGTTGAATGCAGATGGTGGCTGCAGTAGTTCCTAACTGTGTTTACAGAGCCTTTATAGGACTTAGTAGGTAGTTACTCTGCTGCCTGTATAAAAGCAGTGAGAGCCAGGAGCCATGGCTCAGTTCATCATTGAGCATATCACAAAGCAGACATGAGTGGTAGGTGCACTATAGTTTGGCCACCTTTCTAATAGAGAAACAAGGAAAGTCAGTAGCAGACAACTGTGGAAAGACAAGAGTAATTCTCATTGGAGAATAAAAAGCACAGGTCTGATTTTTAAACCAAATAAGCTAAATTGATGCAAAAGTCCAAATAGATGCCTTTATTTCAGTCTGCTTCACATCAGCTGAGCTTGAGTCCATTCCTTCAAAAAAAAAAACAAACCAAAAAACAAACATAAGCCAGCCTTAAATTTAAAGAAATTGTTCCACACAGGATTTTGAAAATTAGAATATAAGCAAGTTTAAGCTAAACTGATTTAACTTTCTTGCGCAGTCAAGCCCTGAACTATCTGCCTGAAAATCAGGAGGGATTTTACTGCATTCTGTTAGGTGTAATGTAGGCAAGTGGAGTTGACATAAGAGGTGAAAGTTTCAGTTGTTGATTCAGGTCCATAAGCAGTGAAAAAAGAAAGATCAGGTTTGAATGATCCTTTTGAGCACATGGGAACCAATTGCATTAACAAGAACACTCTAATAATGTAATTACGTTCTTCACTCTTTTGTGAGAGACTAGTCAGCACTAGGTTGAAAACACGAGTCTGAACAGACATGCTATTGGAGCTCCATGGGAAAGGAATTAAGGTAGACAAAGTGATGAGAGGAAATAATTGGTTAAAAAATTATAGTTTTGTGTTTCTCTCTTGCACAGTGCAAATGTGTGTATATGGGTGTCACATCTTTAAATATCTGTTTATTTAAAAATACTTTAACCTTTGATATGTAAAAATCCAGCTGGTCATTTGGTCACATTACTAAACATCTTCAGACATCTTCCCTTCCAAAGTCCTCCTATCTGTAGAAAATACTATAAGAAGTCTTGTATTTCTTGACTAAAAACTGGGTAATGCACTGTAATTTCACATAATGTTTTGCTTCTGGAGAATACCCTATTACAGTTGTTCTCTGAGCCAATGAGTAGTTGTAATATATTTTGCAATGCATAATATATCTTTCAGTTTAGCAAGGAAGCATATTTTAGGTTAGGCACTCTCCATTCTAATGATTCTCTTAATTTCTTGGTAATTGCACAGAATCAAAATAGCAAATAAAAATTAAATAAAGCACAATTTGCGGTATTTTCACAGCTTCCTTCATTTAGAGTGTACATTTTATGACCTGCCTTGTTTTGTTTGCTACTTACGTTTGCAATCCTTTAAAATGTGGATTGGAAAAGATGATACTGAGAAGGGAATTTTGAGACAGAGGAGAATCTTGCATGTAACCACTACTGAGTTCAATCTCTCATTAATAGTTGTACAATGCGTTTCAAAAATGAGACAGCTTTCTTTTACATAAGAAAAAATTAATATAATATATGAAGTTTCATGCTTTAATAGTTTTCCATTTAAAATTATGGACCTCTATATCTGGACATGAGATTAAAAATTGGCAGGCATTGAGATTACTGCTGTTGCTTGTTTCTTTTATGATATGTAACAGGGTAAATGGAGCATAGTGAGGCTTTGATAAACTTAGATCCACTGGGGTGGAACTCTCCCTGTTTTTAAAAAATAAGCAAATAAGATAGCAGAGGCTGTGATAGTAAAAGGGTTTTAAATCATGGGGATTTAGGGTTAAAAGGAAAATTAAGCTTAGTAGGCCCTGGAAAAATAAACACCCTAAGCACATGAAGAACTTGTACTTGCTAGAACTGCACCTGTGTAGCTAGTACATGATAAATGATATAATTGTTAGATGTGATGATTGTTTAGTAATTAAATATAATTACTGTTTAATCATAAGAATAATCATGAGAAACTGTGGTCAGGGACCTAAGAAAGATCACGAGAAACTCGTGTCAATGTATACAATAGAACAATATAAGTTTAATAATTAATATGTAAGTTATATAACGATAGAATATAAAATACGTTCAGCTTGAAAGCCATGTCGGAGTCAGATTTGGGTTGGTACCCCTGATTCCCAGAGCTCTTAATAAAAGCACCTGCATATAATCATATCCTGTGATTATGTGTGTTCCGGAATGCTAACATTTTGGCGAACCCAGATTGGGACCTTGCGAGCACTGCTGAGGACCCCGCGACCCGATCACGCTCCAGCCGACACTGAGGGATTCTCGGGGAGCCCATCGGTGCCGCGACTCTCCGCTGCTCACAACGTCCCCTGGAGAGAGGTAAGGTGCTTTTAATTTGGTGTGGAACCTGCCTAAGACGCAGCGAAAGCTACGCTCGGTTGGGTTAAAGGAATTCTTGTGGTATTGCCTAGGCACCGTCCATTAGACATCGCAAAAGCATTGCAGGTTTGGCATTCTGTGGTGTTTTGTGGCTATAATATGGAGAAGCTTAAAGGTCTCTTGGGCTGCAATTCCCCCATACCACGTTCTTCTCCTTTGGGGTGCTTATTAGCACATTGGAAACAAGGTAATTTTGGGCAAGACTTACATAGGGGTAAGTTAATTGATTACTGTAATACATGGTGGCCAGAATATGTTTTGGAAGATGGTGAAAAATGGCCACCGAATGGAACATTGCAACATAACACTATTTTGCAATTGATGTTTTGTAAAACCGAAGGAAAATGGGATGAGGTTTCGTATATTGATTTGTTTTTCTACTTGCGAGATAAGCCAGAATGGCAGGTTGAATGTGGATTGATGGTAGTTAAGGCATCTACAAGTGATAAGTGTGAGGTTTGTGTGAAGGAGAAACATTGTTGAGAACATTTTGCATTGAAAGAAAGTCGGAGTCGGAGGAACGATACAGACGTTGATTTACAGGTAGCCCCCGCAAGACCAAGAGAACCTAACCCTATCCTGCCTGCCCCTACCCCTACTTCATCACCTGCTTCACCCAATCCTATTTTGTCTAGTCCTATTTCACCCATTTAAACCCTCTCTCCCTATCCTCCTCTTCCCCTGGAGATGATCTAAATTTAACTGTGATGCATAGAAGGGGGGAGGATGAACGTGAAGGAGATAGTGAGAGTAGAGATGAAAGTGAATCTGCGATACCGGTATCTCATAGGACTCAGAATTGGTCAAAGCCCGCCCCGGTCTTGGCCAGAAAAGATCTGGGTAGACAGAAGCAGACTGTGATTGCCCCCTTATGACAGGGAACAGGAGCGGAGGGGCCGGTGTTTGTAAAAGTACCTTTTCTCCCTGCGGATTTAGTAATTTGGAAACAATCGGCTGGAACTTATGGAGAAAATCCTGATAAAGTGGCAAGAGTGGTAAAAATGATTATGAAAACTCAGAATCCAGATTGAGATGATATACAAGTAATATTAGATACCCTAATGGATTCTACAGAGAAAGAGGTGGTACTTAGAGCAGCCAAGGAAAGGGCAAGGGAGGATATCAGAAACAGGCTCGTAATGGGAACCCTAGATGATAATTTTCCAACCGAGGATCCAGGGTGGGATCCTAATGCACCTGGGCATATGCAAAGGCTGAAGAAATATCAGGAGTGGGTCCAAATGGGCATTCAAAATGCTGTACCTAAGACTATAAATTGGTCTAAATTGTATGAGATAAGGCAGGAGAAGAAAGAATCCCCTACCGTGTTTTTGGAAAGGCTTAAGGAAGCAGCGAGAAAACACACAGATCTCCAAATAGATACACCACAAGCAAAGGTTCAGCTCGCTCTCATTTTCCTGGGGCAGTCACAGGATGACATTAGGAGAAAACTGCAAAACTAGAAGGGTAGAATTTAGAAATCTGGACAAATTGCTTGAAGTAGCTTGGAAAGTATATAATAATAGGGAAAAGGAAACAAGTAAAAGGCAACAGCAAAACCTCTTGGCAGTAATACAAGGGAAAGGAAACCCAGGCATCAGAGGGAGGGGCAGGGGTGGCCGTGGACTGGGGAGGGGAGGTGGACTTGGCAGGGGACATGGGGGAACTGCTGTGCCAAAATTAGTATTTAACCAGTGCTCTTTTTGCCTGCAAGAAGGTCACTGGATAAACGAGTGTCCAAACCGGTTTTACCAAGGCAACCAGCCAAGCCAAGATCAAGATATTGCAAAATTAATGGTGGTGGGACAATACAGCAGCTGTCTAAAAAATAGCAAGGAACCGTTCGTGACCATACAGCTAGGTGATAGAGAAGTAAAACTCCCGGTGGATACAGGGACCACGTATTCTGTACTGAATGATTTGCAAGGACAAATTGGGGACAAACAAACAACAATAGTCGGGGCCACAGGGAAGGAGGAAAATCGGCCATTCCTAAAACCCTTAGATCTGTGTTTTGGAAATAAGGTCCTGACACATGAATTCCTGTATGTGCCTGAGTGTCCAATTCCCCTTTTAGGTAGAGATTTATTGGCAAAACTTGATGCAGTGATAACCTTTGAGAATGGGGAGCTTTTAATGAAAATACCTGAATAAAAGACAGGAAAAAATTTAATGATTAAGGAAAAACCAGCTCCCTCTATTCCTAGGGAAGTAGAAGATGCAGTAATTCCTTCAGTATGGGAAACAGATATACCTGGGAAATCTAAATTAGCACAACCAATACATGTTGAATTAAAGGAAGGGGCAAAAGCAGTACAGGTTAAACAGTATCCTATAAAACCAGAAGCACGGCAGGGAATAGTAAAAATTATTGATAAATTCTTGAAATACCAAATTTTAGAAGAATGTGAATCAGAATATAATACACCTATATTTCCAGTGAGGAATACCAATGGTGAGTATAGACTAGTGCAGGATTTGAGAGCAATAAATGAAATAACTAAGGACATTTATCCAGTGGTTGCCAATCCTTACACATTGTTAACATCCGTGAAAGAGATATATAAATGGTTTACAGTAATTGATCTAAAAGATGCCTTTTTCTGCATAACCCTTGACAAAGAAATTAGGAACCTGTTTGCCTTTAGAGTGGGAAAATCCAGGAAATGGAAGAAAGACCCAGCTCACTTGGACACGGCTCCCACAAGGATTCAAGAACAGTCCCACCCTATTCGGAAACCAACTGGCGAAGGAGCTGGAGACCTGGACGACAAGAGGGCAAGTACGGAGAGAACAATACCTGCTGCTACAGTATGTTGACGATATACTGATAGCCACAGAGGGGAAAGCAACCTGCATAAAGGTAACAATCGAGATTTTAAATTCACTGGGAATGGGAGGATATAAGGTATCTAAAGAAAAAGCACAAATTGCCCAACAGACTGTGATTTACCTGGTATGTGAAATCTCACAAGGGCAGCGAAAACTGGGTACTAACCCTATTCAAGCTATTTGTGCCATTCCAGAGCCCCAGAATCTACATGAGCTGCGAGTCTTCCTTGGGATGACAGGGTGGTGTAGCCTGTGGATCATGGACTATGGACTAATTGCAAAACCTCTGTATGAGGCCCAGAAGACGCAGCCATTTACCTGGGGCAAACCACAGAAGGAGGCCTTCCTCAAACTAAAGGAGGCCTTGACAACTGCTCCTGCATTGGGGTTACCTGATTTGTCCAAAGATTTTCAGCTGTTTGTACATGAAAGGATGCATCTGGCTTTGGGAGTCTTAACCCAACGTTTGGGAAGCTGGAAAAGGCCGGTGGGCTACTTTTCCAAACAACTTGACAATGTCAGTACTGGATGGCCTTCATGTCTGCAGGCAGTCACAGTCACTGTGATTCTGATACAAGAAGCCAGGAAGCTCACCATGGGAAGGCACATAGATGTCTATGTACCACATATGGTGACTACTGTGTTGGAGCAGAAGGGGGCCCATTGGCTCTCCCCGAGTCGAATGATGAAATTCCAGGTAATCTTAACGGAGCAAGATGATGTAACATTAACAACAACTAACCTTTTGAACCCAGCCTTGTTCCTAGGTACAACATCTGAAGAAAGCCTATTGGAACACGATTGCATGGAAGTAATAGAACACATCTGTGCGGCTAGAGCAGATCTGAAAGATGTCCCCCTAGAACAGCCAGACTGGGAGTTGTTCACAGATGGAAGCAGTTTAATGGAGAACGGAATGAGATACGCTGGATATGCGATAACAACAATCAGTACAGTGGTAGAGGCAAAAGCATTGCCACCAAATACATCCGCCCAGAAGTCAGAACCGGTTGCTTTAACCAGAGCACTAGAATTAAGTGAAGGGAAAAAGGTGAACATATGGACTGATTCAAAATATGCATTTGGAGTAGTGCATGTGCATGGGGCCCTATGGAAAGAATGGGGCCTGCTTTCATCTCAAGGGATGCACATTAAACATCAAGATGCAGTTCTGCAGCTGATAGGAGCAGTACAAAAACCTGAACAAGTGGCAATTATGCACTGTAAAGCACATCAGTCAGGAAACTCCAAAATTTGTGAGGGAAATCAAAAGGCAGATTGGACAGCTTGACAGGCTGCTCAAAAGGTGCAAACAACAATTACATTGGTCCCTTTAAAACTTAATGTATCTCAATTCAATTTACCTCCACAGCCGAAATATTCAGCAGAAGATGAGAAATTGGGACATTTACTGAATGCACAGAAGAATCCAGAAGGGTGGTATGTAACTGCACACAGACAGATAGTGGTACCCCCCTTGGTAATGAGAGAGGTTCTACAAATTAAACATAACAAATGTCATTGGGGTGTAGAGGCATTGGTAAAATTTCTAAAATGTTATTTGGTCTCAGTACGAATATTGACAATTGCAAAATCAATAATGTCAAAGTGTGAGATTTGCTTGAAAAATAACCCAGTGGCTAGACGACAGGCACAACTAGGAAGGGTTCAGGTGGGGATAGAACCAGGAGATTATTGGCAGGTAGATTTTGTAGAATTACCAAGAACTCGAGGATACAAATATTTGTTAGTAGGGGTTGATACATTTTCTGGATGGCCAGAAGCCCTTCCCTGTCGCACGAACCAAGCAAAAGAAACAGTTAAGTGGTTACTAGAAGAAATCATTCCCAGATTCGGGGTGCCTCTAGGGATATCATCAGATAGGAGACCCCATTTCATAGCCATGGTGGTAAAAGAAGTAAGTAGGTTGCTGGGAATAACTTGGGACCTCCACACACCATGGAGACCCCAGTCAAGTGGACAGGTGGAGAGGATGAATCAGACACTAAAAAGGCAGATCAGTAAAATATGTCAAGAAGCCAAACTGCAGCGGCCACAGGCTTTACCAATAGCATTGCTGCATCCACATCCCAAATGTAACTGCAGATGTAGAATATGACATCAATCAGTTTAAACAAATAGAGCATGAAGTACAAGAAGAGCAGAAAGATTTGACTACAAGCTGGTTAGACAAAGTCTTTAAAGGGTTAGGGTGGAATGTGAGTTCATGGATTAAGTCTATCACTGAGAGTGTAATAATCCTATTAATTGTGTTCTTAGTAATTTGGTTAGTCTACAGTGTCCTAAAAGGAGAAATACAGAAGAGGACATCCTGAAACCGGAAAATAATCAAGGCACTGACACCGGATCCACACCCATCATCCTCTGATCCTCTAGTCCATGACAACGTTCACGTCAATCCTGGATTTGAAGAACATCATGTATAAACTTAGAAACTAAAGACTGTATCAAGTGAAAGTATTTGCACTTATAGTGAAGTGAAAATACTTTCAAAGGGGGGAAAATGATAATAAAAGGGTTTTAAAATCATTGGGATTTAGGGTTAAAAGGAAAATTAAGCTTAGTAGGCCCTGGAAAAATAAATACCTTTAGCACATGAAGAACTAGTACTTGCTAGAACTGCACCTGTGTAGCTAGTACATGATAAATGATATAATTGTTAGATGTGATGATTGTTTAGTAATTAAATATGATTACTGTTTAATCATAAGAATAATCATGAGAAACTGTGGTCAGGGACCTAAGAAAGATCACGAGAAACTCATGTCAATGTATACAATAGAACAATACAAGTTTAATAATTAATATGTAAGTTATATAACGATAGAATATAAAATACGTTCAGCTTGAAAGCCATGTCGGAGTCAGATTTGGGTTGGTACCCCTGATTCCCAGAGCTCTTAATAAAAGCACCTGCATGTAAAGTCGTAAGAAGGGGTTTCCACGGATGGATTGGGGTGAATATAAGCGAGATCTCTGTTGGTTGTTTTTGGGGGATGAGGTTTATTCAGGATGCAGAAAGGCCCTGCCTCATGCTGTGCTGTGTAGCAGCATGTGGCTGGGCCTGAGGTGATGGGGGAGGGGAGAGACAAAGGGGGGAGCAGGGACTCCCGGAGGAAGTTCCAGGAGGAGAGGGGAAGATCCAAGAGGGCGTCTGGCCCCCCGGAGACCCCTTATCAAGGGGGGCTTCGAGGTGGGCTGGAACAGGACTTGGGCCAATGGGGTCACAGACACTTGATGTTTCAGGGGAGGGTTACAGGTGTGGGGTGAACCATACATTCTGGGGGGTGAGATGGAACAGTCCATTTGAATTTTGGACCCCTCTGTAGGTGAGGGTTATTGTCCAGCCAGTAGGGGGCGTTATATTCGTCCTGGCTGTACTATTGTGGTTCTTAATCATATTTATCTACCCTTCCCAACACCTGCATATAATCATATCCCGTGATTATGTGTGTTCCGGAACCCTAACAGCTGCATTTTAAGGGTCTTTTGGTAGGTCTTGCTATGGATAAGCATATTTGTCCTGGCTTAAAGGACAGGTGTCTTCCAAGGAAGGTGAGTACCTCCCTTGGAATGGAAAATGTGACCCCCTTCCCTCTGAAGTATTACAACTTTGAAATTACAGGGCTTTCCGTCAAAGATATGGAAAAACAAATAACAGTTCTTTACTAGGATATATATATATGTATAACAAGGCAAACAAATGACAATAACAACATCAGCAACAAGAAACAGAAAAAAACTAGACCTGACAACAGCCTTCTCTGGGTTGTCAACTGCTTTTCCCTTTGGTGTAGTTACAGTCACGGCCAGCAGGGGCGATGTTGGCACCCAGCTCAGCAGGGCAAGTGTGATGATTCCCCCTCGGCTGCAGGGGACGCTGTGGCGTGAGCACAGCCTCCTCTCCACATGGGTAGTGATGACTCAATCAGTGGGAGAGAGAGAGAGAAAAGGGGCTTCGTTTGCAAACTCGTGGGAGGAGGGTGACGGGGGACAGGGACCTAGTCTCAGTGCCCCTCCAGGTTGTGAAATGGACTGTAGCAGGAACTTCGGAGCAGCAGGCTGGTACAGCAGATGCGGGCATACCTGGGGTGGCAAACAAAATGCAGCAGAATCTCCGGAGCTGCAGCAAGAGCTGTGGGGGTTAAGCGGACATGGGGTGTTGGGTTAAAGTGTAGCGAGAAACCCAAAGCAGTGGCAGAAAATCAGCAGGGCTGGGGAGCAGCATGTGGGGTCCTGCAAACAGCTGGGAGGCATTGAGACAGTCCTGTGGAGGAGAGAGGGTTCCCAGGTTTTCCCCTGAGACATCGAGTAGATAGCGAGGGTCCTTTCCAGTGAGATCAGATGTTGATAAGATCCCAGTTCAACAGCCGCTCTTATGAGCAAAGCCTCGCTCACAGTAGGAGAAGCAGTAAAAGACAGAGCTCCGCGGTGGCAGCGAATTCTTCCTACAGCAACTGTAGCCTGGCTGTCTCCTCTCTGATCTGAGAGCAAGAGAGCGAGGAGCTGAGCCCATCCCCTCACCCCCCAGCCAAAATCTTGCAGCATCCCTGCCCCTCCCAAGAGAAAATTCCCCAGCCAAGAGGGAAACCAACTGCACCCCTGCCCCTGCTCCTTCCCCCAGCACATCTCCTCTTCCTCTTAAGTGCCCATTGCCACAATCTCCTAGGCAACAAATGGGAGAAAATTCTCCAATTCCCTGAGAGAAAGAAAGAAGAAAAAAAAAAGGGATAAATTCTAACCTCCAACAATATTTCAGGATGTTTCCAAGTTCAGCAGTAATGCAGATTTAATTGGACATAAGGGTTCTTTAAAACTTTCTTTGCCACACTTATTTCTTGAACTTTTGGAGAAAGAGAATACCCTTGAAAACAAACAATTATATCCTAAATTATCTGAGGTTATACAAGTTGAGTTTATACTATGATAGAAATTTTAAAAGCCGGCCTGTGAGTTATTCGTTATTTGAGTTTGTATTTTCACAAAAAACAGATGATACATAGATTTTTACATGCAGGGAAAACAATAATAGAAAATAAGATTTATCAATTTGGCAGCAGTGAGAATTAATTTATATTTTTCATCCAGTTTTCTTGAGACTCTTATCTAAGGTTTATAGCAGAAAGAATGAGGAATTAGAATTGAGAGATTTGGTGACGAAGTGATAAATAAGGAAGTGAGATGTTAATTTCAGAAATTGTCCAGTATAGAAGAATTTGATATCTGTGATAAAACATGACATCTATTAGAAGAAATTCTAGAAAATATGCTATAGTATGTGATTTTGGGCCCTGGAACATCCCTTGTAGCATCTTCTGTGCAGATTACAAGAGATACGTCAAGGTCAAAGGAAATTTAACAAAGTAGTCACATACAGTGCAATGTTTTCATAGCAAATTAATCCTTGGGTCCTCCATAAGAGGATATTAATTTAAGGTAATAAAATTCATAACACTGTTGTCACACTTTTGTATAGATGAAGTTACTGCAGCATTGCATCTGGGAAAAGCTGAATGAAGGGAAGCAATTTTCTTTATTTTTTTAACTGGAGTGAAGTCTAACTGTCCTGTTTATACTAGGTAAGTGTATATTAGGGAAAACTGGTTATTATACAGATGTTCTTTTATATTGTGCTAATTTAGTCATGAGTATGTGTGGGACTGAACTCTGCTTTCCTCAGTTACACTTTGAAGTTCAATTTTGAAATTATGAAGAAATACTAAAACCCAGTGTTGGTCTTAACCATGCTGAACAACTTTCTTAGAATCATGGATTCATTTAAGTTGGAAAAGACCTTTTAAGATGATGAAGTTAAGCTGTAAACTTAACAGTGCTAAGCCTACGACAAAACTGTGTCCCTAAGTGTCACATCTACACATCTTTGAATCCCTCCAGGAGTGGTGACTCCACCACTTTCCTGGACAGCCTGTTCCAATGCTTGATAACCCTTTTTGCTAATATCCAATTGTAGTGGTTTGGGTTTGCCAATTTGAGATTTCGCCAATTTTGAGATTTCCCGAGCGGCACACCAATGAGTGTGGTGGGTTTTAGTGCTGGCCAATCACCAGTGCACTCACTTCCTGCTGTGAGGTAGGATTAGGAGAAAGGCAAAGCAGGCTCAAAACTTTAAAATGGTATAAAGAAAAATTTATTACCAGTAACTAAAAGAAAGAGTAATAAAAATCAGAACAAAACTTTCTGAACACCTCTCCCGACAACCTTTTCTTCCCACTGACAATGTAAAGAAACAAAACCTAAAATTTCAGTCAGTTTATGTCTTGGTTTGATAAGACAGGTGTCTGCTAAGGAAGGCATGAGCCTCCCCTGAAATGGAAAATGTAAACCCCCTCCCTCTGATTTATTAAAAAAATATGGATATTGATCTAGTATCGATATCCAACTATGACGGACAAAAACTCTCTAACAGTTTAAAGTTAGAAAGTGTATGTTTATTCGACGCCGGGCAGCGTGCGGGATAACTCCCAAATACACACCGCAGCTTCCAGGTGATTACAGAGTCTTTTTATCCATACAAGTATTAACTACCCAAAATACAAATACATATTCATAATTTTGGTATGTCCCATTCCTCGCTTCGTATGCTAATAATTTCAAAAGCTATTAAGCATGCATAGTTTGTTCCTTGAAATGGGTCGGTGGTCCCTTTCATGGGGAGGGGTCCCAAAATGAGGAAGTAAATGAAGTCTTCCTCGTTCTGACCTTTCTACCTTTTCAATGCAGATATGACAAATGAACTCTTGGTAGAACTTCCATTCCTTGTCTTCAATTGGTTTCAGAACAGAGGAGGCCCACAATTGTCTTATGTTCCTAAAAGCTATTTGTCAGTTTCTATAGTCTTCATTATAAACCCAGCTAACTAAACATTGTGCTGACAAGTAATGAATTATTAGTTAACTACTAACTCTTAACTTCATCAAGGCCTATTCATTTATTTTAAGTAACTCTAATAAGGCTTATCTCAACTAAAAATCTTAGCTCCTCTAAAATCTCTAAATTCCTTAAAATTTACCTTTCACCTCCAAATTGTTATAAATTTGAAATTAAGGGGGGGCTCTCAGGCAAAGATATGGGAGCAGGAATAACAGTTCTTTATTAGGGAAGAAAATAAAAAAATAAAATCAACAATGCAGTTATACAAAACAACACTGACAGAGTCAGAATATGACCTGACACCCCGATGGTCAGGGTGTTGGTAGCAGTCCAATTGGAATTGTGGCTGCAGTCCTTCTGGAGTGGCAGATGTGGTTCTGTTGGAGCAGTGATGCTGTAGAAGGGTGTAGTCTTCCTCTGAAGATCCAATGGAAAAGCAGCTATTCCTCTGGGAATCCAGTAGAAAGGCTGTTCTGGTGTCCCAAAATATCAGATTATATCCAGTTAGGAATGCTTGGCTCCTCCCCCTGGGTGGAGCATCTCACAATGGGATGATGTAATTTTTATCAGTCCTGCAGTGACATTCAATAGCCCATTAACAGCAGATGTCTCCCTGGAGGGAGGATTGGTTTGTGGAAGAGATAAAGAAAACTGCCCAATTA